TGATGAAGAAAATGGTTACTATGTAAAAGTTCATGGAGTACTAAAGTTGTTAAAATTGCCTGTAATCTTAATATTTATGATGTTATGAATATTATGACTGCTCCAATGTCCCGAAAGAAGAAAATTGCCCATATTAAAAACGTTCTCGTAAACAAAGATGAACTGAGCTGGAGAACAGAGCTTTGGAACGATAAACATAACGTTAAGGGCAATACATTAAGAACTTTCATGATCGTAACGTTGTTGCTCCTTATGTTTTAAATACAGGGACCACCGTCGCATTTTAGCTAGTTTTAGATCTGGATCGAAACAGGACGATTTACAACCCCCCAAACCTTTTAGAAAATAGAATTTGCCCGCACTGTTTTAAAATTGTTCATTAAAGTTTGTCGAAAATGAATTTCACTTTATTAAATGTTATGTCCTTTATGATCTTAGAAGTATTTTACTTAGATAATGGTCATCTCTTTTGAAACACGTGACGCATTCATAAAATAACTTCCTCTGTAAGGTTCACACCCAATTGTCAGACATCCCATTTGGCAGGTGACCGAATCATCAGACAGACCAGTCAAGTGTGACCAGTGTATTCGCCTGGTCTAAACTACTAATTACTGTGCTGCTCTCGACTGTGGGCAGAGTAAGCTATTCACCACTCGTTAAGTGATACAGATTAACCAGATTCCTCTACGCTGGGCAAACACTGGTCTATGTAGAATCATATCGTTATCTGGGACTACGGGTTGACGAGCATCTAGATATGTGAAACTGTGAAAGAGTTGTACAATTCTGCCAGCCATGCTTTGTCTTATTCTGTTGGGTGTATGTCTTATGATGTTTTTTTATGAAACTGTATGAAAGTCTTGTTGAGCCGGTAATGATCTATGGCTCTGGTATATGAGGATAAAACGTTAATCTAATCCACAATAGAGCCGGTAAATTATTTCTTGGTGTTAGTAACGGTACCTCCATGTATAGCCACTAATGGAGACATGGGTCTCTCCTCCCCGTTTGTTACATTACATGCTAATGTTTTTAGACTACCCCAAGATTAATAACAGTACTTGTAACGCTTTGATGAAGAAAATGGTTACTATGTAAAAGTTCATGGAGTACTAAAGTTGTTAAAATTGCCTGTAATCTTAATATTTATGATGTTATGAATATTATGACTGCTCCAATGTCCCGAAAGAAGAAAATTGCCCATATTAAAAACGTTCTCGTAAACAAAGATGAACTGAGCTGGAGAACAGAGCTTTGGAACGATAAACATAACGTTAAGGGCAATACATTAAGAACTTTCATGATCGTAACGTTGTTGCTCCTTATGTTTTAAATACAGGGACCACCGTCGCATTTTAGCTAGTTTTAGATCTGGATCGAAACAGGACGATTTACAACCCCCCAAACCTTTTAGAAAATAGAATCTGCCCGCACTGTTTTAAAATTGTTCATAAAAGTTTGTCGAAAATGAATTTCACTTTATTAAATGTTATGTCCTTTATGATCTTAGAAGTATTTTACTTAGATAATGGTCATCTCTTTTGAAACACGTGACGCATTCATAAAATAACTTTCTCTGTAAGGTTCACACCCAATTGTCAGACATCCCATTTGGCAGGTGACCGAATCATCAGACAGACCAGTCAAGTGTGACCAGTGTATTCGCCTGGTCTAAACTACTAATTACTGTGCTGCTCTCGACTGTGGGCAGAGTAAGCTATTCACCACTCGTTAAGTGATACAGATTAACCAGATTCCTCTACGCTGGGCAAACACTGGTCTATGTAGAATCATATTGTTTTCTGGGACTACGGGTTGACGAGCATCTAGATATGTGAAACTGTGAAAGAGTTGTACAATTCTGCCAGCCATGCTTTGTCTTATTCTGTTGGGTGTATGTCTTATGATGTTTTTTATGAAACTGTATGAAAGTCTTGTTGAGCCGGTAATGTTCTATGGCTCTGGTATATGAGGATAAAAAGTTAATCTAATCCAAAATAGAGCCGGTAAATTATTTCTTGGTGTTAGTAACGGTACCTCCATGTATAGCCACTAATGGAGACATGGGTCTCTCCTCCCCGTTTGTTACATTACATGCTAATGTTTTTAGACTACCCCAAGATTTAATAACAGTACTTGTAACGCTTTGATGAAGAAAATGGTTACTATGTAAAAGTTCATGGAGTACTAAAGTTGTTAAAATTGCCTGTAATCTTAATATTTATGATGTTATGAATATTATGACTGCTCCAATGTCCCGAAAGAAGAAAATTGCCCATATTAAAAACGTTCTCGTAAACAAAGATGAACTGAGCTGGAGAACAGAGCTTTGGAATGATAAACATCAATGTTTAAAACTACTTTCAACTACTTGTTGCTGGCGTACGCATTTTATATTGATCAAACTGTTATTAAGATCTGTAAAACATAACGAAATACAAATTATTTCATAACATCATATAGTTGTCATAATGAAAATAGTATTAAAGCATTATTGTCACATGCAATAATTATACTGTTCGGTATCATTAGTAAACTTTGCAACCACATATTATGTGAAACATTCTATAAGAGGTGAGGAAATTGAATGAAGCAGTGGTAAAATCTAACCATATATACAAAATTGTATATTTTGGAAATACCAACTATACAAAATTGTATATTTTGGAAATATCAAATATACAAAATTGTATATTTTGTATATATGGGTATTTTTTCTTGTGTAATGGAGCCAATCAAATGGCAAGATATACCACAGGGTATATATTATATCAGTGATGTCAAACCAACAAAATACGGTCATCAATTGTTTCTTTCCAATTTCGAAAAAAGAGTATATAGTCTGGTCATCTAGTAAAATGAACGAAGAACTGTTGAATATTACTTTGTTTAAAATAATGGTATGCGTATGAGTAAAAATAATAGAGAATATTTTCATTACAATTTAGTTTAATCTCATGATAATTGTTAAATAGCATCATCATTTTTGCATAAAAAATTCCATCTGTAGTAGCAGTATAGGTATATAAATCTGGCTCCAGTGGGGTTGCAGCAGAACCCCCATTACCTATACTACTTGCTGTGTGACAACAAGTGGAGGTTGAACTGAGAGAAAGCTTGCTTAATGTTACAGAGCTATGGCATGAATGTTTAATGTATAAAATACTAAAGTATAAAACATAACTAATATTCTTACTAATGTTTAATGTAAATATCATAATCAACTAATAAGATGGAATGGTAACAAGGTCATACAACCTTACAACTAACTTATAAATCTTAATTAATAGTTATCTACATATGTTTAAATACTTGAGCTTGTCACACTTGGATATTATGATGAGCATCATGTGGCTTTGACTCCTTTAATCTAACTTTGATTAGCACCTTTTGATGAAACCTGGAAGTACCACCATGTTTTTACTCACGTCTCCTCGCATGGTTTTATTTGTCAATAAAGATTACCATTTACAATGGGATTAAAAGGCAAGTACAGAATTGGTTGAACAATTGGTTCAAGTTGCAGTGTACTTTTACAGTGATGTGAGATACTTTTGTCAGGAGAGGTGCTTCATATTTTCCGGAGAATTGCTGCCTGCAATATGAAATACTTGTTAGTGCTTCACAAAACTGCAGTAGTAAAGTCAAAGTTAGGACAGAGTCCAAGTTTTGAGATAGTGCTATGTATTTGTATCTTGAATTAGAGATAAGTAGTTGAAATTATATGTATTAGTATAGTGAGGTGCTTGGAAACGGAGAATAGGTTCGAGATATAGGTACTTTTGGAAAAACGGACCTCGAGGTAATGGGGTCCAGCTGTATATCATTGAGTGACATTTTGAAGCAGCAGTTTCAATGAAGACAGAATTGAGAAATTCAGTTTGTTGTTTATTTAAAAGTTAAAAAAGACAATTGTCAAGATATTTTCAACAGTACTGTAACTGGGTTTACTTGGCTTTATCCATTATATATATGTATAAATGATACCAAGACAGGGTGTGAGGCTTATGTTTATTTGTGAATAATCACGATAGACACCCTGTGATAAGAAACAACAGATAATATAGTATATGCATATTAAAATATATCATATAATCATCAAAGCAATCATTTCTGTTACATTACTTACAACTAAGTATTATTAGATGATATGATAGAAATGGCTTATAATACATATTAAGTTAAATGGTTACACATACCCTATGTGTGGCACAAGGGTGTGAAACGTGATACCCTTCAAATGTCACCGTTCATGATATGTCCTGCAGAAGAAAGAGCAGGAATAAATACTTAGAGAGACTAAATACAATGAAATGAATAACAAAATGCATTCTTTGTGCACTTCCATTATTGTAGATATAACTTAGCATGTATACAAGATAATATTAAAATATACTATTGCTCAGGTTAAAGTTCAACCTCTAAAACATTAATTCAAAACATCAACATTAATAGAAATATATGATTCAATGTAAATATGATAATTACTTCTTAGATACTTATTTATAATGCCTAATCTTTGATTACTATTTAATCCTATTTGGAAGTCAAGATAAATTATAAACAAACCTTTTGTGGTGATCTACGAATACTCCTAATGCAGTGAAGGTGGCAATATGGAGTTGGTCAGAGAAGAAGGTAAAGTTTGAATTTGGCCAATCACAGGATAGCTTGGGATGTGATTGATCAGTAGAGGGCTGGACAAAGAATGTAGTACAGCTTGGGATGTGATTGATCACTGAGGGCTGGTCTTAGAATGATGGGATAAAAACACACCTCTGTTGAATATAGTTCAACAGAAACAAAACTTGAAATAGATTTATTTACAAAAAAACCTAAAATACAAATATATACACCTGCTACAATACTTTTGCCAGAGCGAAAACAATTTCATTTCAAGTTTACTGTGTCACTTGTACCTGCCTCTCCTTGACTGCATGTTATTTCATTGTGGTATGATGTTGTTTTAATGCTTTGTATTTTTGTGTGTGTTGTAGAATGTAATCGTAACGAGCTTGTGTCTCAGGGAGCACTACCTGTGTTGGTGGATATGCTACATTCCCCAGATGAAGAGATCCAGTATACTTGTATTGCTGCACTCAGCAATGTTGCTGTCCATGAAAAACATCGAGCAATGATGGTAGCTATTGGCAATCATGATGTTATTCTGCAGCTGATCAGTTTGATGTACTCAAGACAAGAAAAGGTAGGAAGGATGCTCATGTGGTGCATCATTAACATAGCTCATGACCACTCACATTGAAAGTGTGAGTGGGTGTATGCAAGGCTACTTACATGCATTTTAAGCCCATTTCCCCAGAAAGTGCATGCATATATACCTCATGAGTTTGGTGGCAGAATGAAGAGATGAAAATATTAGCACAATTTCTCCCTTTACATTTCTCTTCACAAATATAAAAAACCGTCTGTAACCAGATGCTAGATAAGGTTCTTAATAGCTTCCCAAGCACCATGCAATTTCATTTTCGAAGTTGAACTTCACATCATGAAAATCTCTGTTTTGTACATTAGACCAAGTTCTGTTTATTTCTTTTCCACCCCAGCTTATAACTTCTGAGAAAACCCTTTTCCACCCCTGCTTATAACTTCTAAGAGAACCCTTTTCCACCCCTGCTTATAACTTTTGAGAAAACCCTTTTCCATCCCTGCTTATAACTTCTGCGAAAACCCTTTTCCACCCCTGCTTATAACTTCTGAGAAAACCCTTTTCCACCCCTGCTTATAACTTCTGAGAAAACCCTTTTCCACCCTTGGTTATAACTTCTGAGTAAACCCTTTTACATCATTGCTTATAACTTCTGAGAAAACCCTTTTCCACCCCTGTTTATAACTTCTGAGAGAACCCTTTTCCACCCCAGCTTATAACTGCTGAGAAAACCCTTTTCCACCCCTGCTTATAACTGCTGATAGAACCCTTTTCCACCCCAGCTTATAACTTCTGAGAAACCCTTTTCCACCCCTGCTTATAACTGCTGATAGAACCCTTTTCCACCCCTGCTTATAAGTTCTGAGAGAACCCTTTTCCACCCCTGCTTATAACTGTTGATAGAACCCTTTTCCACCCCTGCTTATAACTTCTGAGAGAACCCTTTTCCACCCCTGCTTATAACTTCTGAAAAAAAACCTTTTCCACCCTTGTTATAAGTTCTGAGAGAACCCTTTTCCACCCCTGCTTATAACTTCTGAGAAAACCCTTTTCCACCCCTGCTTATAAATTCTGAGGAAACCCTTTTCCACCCCTGCTTATGACTTCTGAGAGAACCCTTTTCCACCCATGCTTATAACTTCTGAGAAAACCCTTTTCCAACCCAGCTTATAACTTCTGAGAGAACCCTTTTCCACCCCTGCTTATAACCTCTGAGAAAACCCTTTTCCACCCATGCTTATAACTTCTGAGAAAACCCTTTTCCACCCCTGCTTATAAACTCTGAGAAAACCCTTTTCCACCCATGCTGATAACTTCTGAGAAAACCCTTTTCCACCCCTGCTTATAAACTTCTGAGAGAACCCTTTTCCACCCCTGGTTATAACTTCTGAGTAAACCCTTTTACATCATTGCTTATAACTTCTGAGAAAACCCTTTTCCACCCCTGTTTATAACTTCTGAGAGAACCCTTTTCCACCCCAGCTTATAACTGCTGAGAAAACCCTTTTCCACCCCTGCTTATAACTGCTGATAGAACCCTTTTCCACCCCAGCTTATAACTTCTGAGAAAACCCTTTTCCACCCCTGCTTATAACTGCTGATAGAACCCTTTTCCACCCCTGCTTATAAGTTCTGAGAGAACCCTTTTCCACCCCTGCTTATAACTGTTGATAGAACCCTTTTCCACCCCTGCTTATAACTTCTGAGAGAACCCTTTTCCACCCCTGCTTATAACTGTTGATAGAACCCTTTTCCACCCCTGCTTATAACTTCTGAGAGAACCCTTTTCCATCCCTGCTTATAACTTCTAAAAAAAAACCTTTTCCACCCTTGTTATAAGTTCTGAGAGAACTCTTTTCCACCCCAGCTTATAACTGCTGAGAAAACCCTTTTCCACACCTGCTTATAACTGCTGATAGAACCCTTTTCCACCCCAGCTTATAACTTCTGAGAAAACCCTTTTCCACCCCTGCTTATAACTGCTGATAGAACCCTTTTCCACCCCTGCTTATAAGTTCTGAGAGAACCCTTTTCCACCCCTGCTTATAACTTCTGAGAAAACCCTTTTCCACCCCTGCTTATAACTTCTGAGAGAACCCTTTTCCACCCCTGCTTATAACTTCTGAGCAAACCCTTTTCCACCCCTGCTTATAACCTCGGAGAGAACCCTTTTCCACCCATGCTGATAACTTCTGAGAAAACCCTTTTCCACCCCTGCTTATAACTTCTGAGAGAACCCTTTTCCACCCATGCTTATAACTTCTGAGAAAACCCTTTTCCAACCCAGCTTATAACTTCCGAGAGAACCCTTTTCCACCCCTGCTTATAACCTCTGAGAAAACCCTTTTCCACCCCTGCTTATAACTTCTGAGAAAACCCTTTTCCACCCCTGCTTATAAACTCTGAGAAAACCCTTTTCCACCCATGCTTATAACTTCTGAGAAAACCCTTTTCCACCCCTGCTTATAAACTTCTGAGAGAACCCTTTTCCACCCCTGGTTATAACTTCTGAGTAAACCCTTTTACATCATTGCTTATAACTTCTGAGAAAACCCTTTTCCACCCCTGTTTATAACTTCTGAGAGAACCCTTTTCCACCCCAGCTTATAACTGCTGAGAAAACCCTTTTCCACCCCTGCTTATAACTGCTGATAGAACCCTTTTCCACCCCAGCTTATAACTTCTGAGAAAACCCTTTTCCACCCCTGCTTATAACTGCTGATAGAACCCTTTTCCACCCCTGCTTATAAGTTCTGAGAGAACCCTTTTCCACCCCTGCTTATAACTGTTGATAGAACCCTTTTCCACCCCTGCTTATAACTTCTGAGAGAACCCTTTTCCACCCCTGCTTATAACTGTTGATAGAACCCTTTTCCACCCCTGCTTATAACTTCTGAGAGAACCCTTTTCCACCCCTGCTTATAACTTCTAAAAAAAAACCTTTTCCACCCTTGTTATAAGTTCTGAGAGAACCCTTTTCCACCCCAGCTTATAACTGCTGAGAAAACCCTTTTCCACACCTGCTTATAACTGCTGATAGAACCCTTTTCCACCCCAGCTTATAACTTCTGAGAAAACCCTTTTCCACCCCTGCTTATAACTGCTGATAGAACCCTTTTCCACCCCTGCTTATAACTTCTGAGAGAACCCTTTTCCACCCCTGCTTATAACTTCTGAGAGAACCCTTTTCCACCCATGCTGATAACTTCTGAGAAAACCCTTTTCCACCCCTGCTTATAACTTCTGAGAGAACCCTTTTCCACCCCTGCTTATAACTTCTGAGAAAACCCTTTTCCACCCCTGCTTATAACTTCTGAGAGAATCCTTTTCCACCCCAGCTTATAACTTCTGAGTAAACCCTTTTCCATCATTGCTTATAACTTCTGAGAAAACCCTTTTCCACCCATGCTTATAACCTCGGAGAGAACCCTTTTCCACCCCTGCTTATAACTTCTGAGAGAACCCTTTTCCATCCCTGCTTATAACTTCTGAGAAAACCCTTTTCTGACCCTGCTTATAACCTCGAAGAGAACCCTTTTCCACCCCTGCTTATAACTTCTGAGAAAACCCTTTTCCATCATTGCTTATAACTTCTGAGAAAACCCTTTTCCACCCAGGCTTATAAGGTTTGAGAGAACCCTTTTCCACCCCAGCTTATAACTTCTTAGAGAACCCTTTTCCACCCATGCTGATAACTTCTGAGAGAACCCTTTTCCACCCCTGCTTATAACTTCTGAGAAACCTCTGTCCACCCCTGTTAAACTTCTGAGAAAACCCTTTTCCACCCCAGCTTATAACCTCAGAGAAAACCCTTTTCCACCCCTGCTTATAACTTCTGAGAAAACCCTTTTCCATCCCTGCTTATAACTTCTGCGAAAACCCTTTTCCACCCCTGCTTATAACTTCTAAAAAAAACCCTTTTCCACCCTTGTTATAAGTTCTGAGAGAACCCTTTTCCACCCCAGCTTATAACTGCTGAGAAAACCCTTTTCCACACCTGCTTATAACTGCTGATAGAACCCTTTTCCACCCCAGCTTATAACTTCTGAGAAAACCCTTTTCCACCCCTGCTTATAACTGCTGATAGAACCCTTTTCCACCCCTGCTTATAAGTTCTGAGAGAACCCTTTTCCACCCCTGCTTATAACTTCTGAGAAAACCCTTTTCCACCCCTGCTTATAACTTCTGAGAGAACCCTTTTCCACCCCTGCTGATAACTTCTGAGAGAACCCTTTTCCACCCCTGCTTATAACTTCTGAGAAAACCCTTTTCCACCCCTGCTTATAAATTCTGAGGAAACCCTTTTCCACCCCTGCTTATAACTTCTGAGAGAACCCTTTTCCACCCCTGCTTATAACTTCTGAGAAAACCCTTTTCCAACCCAGCTTATAACTTCCGAGAGAACCCTTTTCCACCCCTGCTTATAACCTCTTAGAAAACCCTTTTCCACCCATGCTTATAACTTCTGAGAAAACCCTTTTCCACCCCTGCTTATAAACTCTGAGAAAACCCTTTTCCACCCCTGCTTATAACTTCTGAGAAAACCCTTTTCCACCCCTGCTTATCAACTTCTGAGAGAACCCTTTTCCACCCCTGGTTATAACTTCTGAGTAAACCCTTTTACATCATTGCTTATAACTTCTGAGAAAACCCTTTTCCACCCCTGTTTATAACTTCTGAGAGAACCCTTTTCCACCCCAGCTTATAACTGCTGAGAAAACCCTTTTCCACCCCTGCTTATAACTGCTGATAGAACCCTTTTCCACCCCAGCTTATAACTTCTGAGAAAACCCTTTTCCACCCCTGCTTATAACTGCTGATAGAACCCTTTTCCACCCCTGCTTATAAGTTCTGAGAGAACCCTTTTCCACCCCTGCTTATAACTGTTGATAGAACCCTTTTCCACCCCTGCTTATAACTTCTGAGAGAACCCTTTTCCACCCCTGCTTATAACTGTTGATAGAACCCTTTTCCACCCCTGCTTATAACTTCTGAGAGAACCCTTTTCCACCCCTGCTTATAACTTCTAAAAAAAAACC